ATCAAATGAACCACTTTGTAACATGTAAATGTTATCTGAGTTTGGTGTTTATTTAAAAGGAAGTGCTGATGTTGGCCCTTGTTCTCTGTGTGTGCTGCCAACTTTGTAGTTGAAGGAACTGGACAGAAAACAAATTAATAAAGTCTAGTTTTTCTGTGTTGAAAAAAAATGAGTCTATCCCAAAACAAGTTAAAGTAGGTTCTGGAAAAATGAATCTCACTTAGTCTATAGTGGACAGACAATTAATAAAACATTAGACAAAGCACAAATTTGACAGTATTAAAGAAAGTTTACCAGCTCAGTGACTATAAAAGATTTGCCACATCTCCATTAATAAGCTACTGGAAGAAATGTGGTTAATATTAGCTCATAGAAAATCTTGATTTCAGAGGTCCACATTCAATAGTCATTCTAGCAAGTGATTTCATGAACTACACCAACAGCCTACAGTAATATCTGTACCAAAAGTGTTCTACAGGACTACATGCAAATGCTCAACACAGCCATGCTAGTCCTAGAGAGGGTACACAAATGAAAGGCTGCAAGCGAAGAAGATAATTAGATACATCAGAGGGGCTTTATCTGCTGTTCAAGGTCAATGCAAGCAAGACATCATCACTTAGAGGTGCTATGCAAGTTTGGCAAATAGGTCTCATATTGATTCAGTCCAAGACAGCTGTTCAAGCCCTGCCTCAGAGTGTGACCTGTCCACTGTCATAAAAGCATGTGGTGAGGGGCTGGTAAGGTTACATGAGCAACCTGTCCCCTTCTCTTTTTTCAGGCTTGTGACTGAAGCTTACACTTTGGGCAACACCTTACAGACTTTAAAGCAACGCCTGCAAGAAGCCCAGGATACTCTGCAGATGCTGATGCTCAACAAATCAAATCTGGAACATGACATTTCTGTGAAGGCAAACTCCTTCTCCATTGACAAGAAGTGCATGGACATGCGCAGAGTCTTCCCCAGCACCCCACGGCTCATTGGATACACTTGAGTAGTAACCTTTGATATCTTAGCACACGAGAGGAAAGTTGCAAAGGCTGCAAATATCTCCTGAAGGAAAAAATTATTCTGTTTTCTCAAATAAAGAATTCTTACAGAAATAAACTAATGAAAATTAATATCATGCCTCTTTTGAGCAACCTTTTCTTTTCAGTTGTAGCTGCTAGTAATCCACATAGAATTAGTAGACTTATTCCAACAGAATCAGACCACACTAAAATAACCAAAGAGTGTAAGATGTGTGAGTTGATAGCTAGAGAAAGCATTAGACTGAAAGGCCTCACCTCTGACAAAATTAGTACAACACAGCATTTAACTGTTAGGGATAATGTGCCATCTGTGTTTCAGCCCTTGTCTGGAAAAGTCCAGGTTAAATGCTTACTCCATCCTTACACTTACCTCTTGACTAGCAATGCTAGATTTGGTGTTTGGAATTAGAGGAGGTAAAAAAAAAAGCTTGACTCATAGAAGCTGGAGGGCAACTTCAATGCAACCAGGTTAGGTATACATATAGCCTGCATTCACTGAGAGGGAATTTTCCATCTCTACCTTTTTCTTTCTTAATTTGATTTTTTCATACAATTACATATGAAGAAAATTTGCCTATTTTTATGAACAATTTGTGACTGATGTGATATTTGCTCAAGTCTGAAAGGTCTTATCTATTTAGAAATATGTGCTATCATTAGCTCTCAAAGGATTTCTTGAACAAAGATGGTGCCACTGCTCTATTGTGGCTAATGAGCAAGTTAATACAGAGTAGGAATGGAACCAGCGTACAGGAACAGAGTGTGCTTAAAGTGTGCTGAAATTGTCCTTGAGTCTGCAAGTCAAGGTTGCTCAGCTTTCTAGTTCTCAGTGGAGCACTCCTCTGTGTGGTGGGGAGAAGGATGGCATGGGCTTCTGCCTGACAGCTGAAATACATTACCTGTGCAGTAATCCTAGTAAAGGATCTGAGGAAGAACTAGTTTTAGCTAAAGCAGCCTGCTTTGGACAAAATGGAGTAATAATCTTCTACTGTTGGTTGTATTTCTTCCTGGATTTATTCACACTCATTTATGAGTAACCAACAAACTACAATTCTAGTAACTGAGCTGTTTCCTGCTGCCTCGGGGTCCTTTCTACAGGGCAGCTCTACACAAAATGTATTTTACACTGGACCAGAGCCAAATGCAAAACAATGCAGATTTGAAACTCTCCTGAATAAACTGGCTCTGTTCCTTAGCCTTTGTTTGTGGGGGTGGTGGCTCAGCCTGGTTCCCAACAGCAGCACTGGTCCCTCCTGGTGGGCCAGCCTCTGCCTCCACTGGGCGGGGCCCTGGCTGGGCCACCTCACACTCCCTTTCTCTCCTGCAGTTAAAAAGGTGGCATCTCCCGGCTACTGTGCCAGTGTTTCTAGATTTCCAAATGCTTTAGAAGATTTAAAATCATGGGAAACCATTTTGGAACAGAGGATTGTGAACTGACATCCAGGCCTACTTCTGATACTGTTCAAACCCGTCTCACGTTGGCTACGCTGCATCTTGATTTCCTAAGGGAGGCTCGTGACAGAGTCCGGTTGCACATGGCAATGGAGAGTGCAAGCTGCTCCACCCAGCAACCTAGTGCCAAACGGTGGCTTTTGGGGAGGAATTTCTCCAAATGCAGGGAAAGTTCCAGAAATAACTTGGGCTTGTATGGCAACATGACTGCAGAGCAGTTTGAGGGTCCTGGTGATGTGCTGCTGGAGAGAGGAGGAGCCCTGTTACTGACCACTGGTAATCTCGTTTGAATTAATAGTCCTACCTTGCCATTTCTTACTCTGAAACGCTTCAGCTTCTATCCCAGAACTCCCCTGGGACATGCCTTTAGGTGGGAGGAGTGAGGAATCTCACTGTTTTGTTTCCCAGCAGGGAAGATTGTTACCACTGCTAACATTTTCCTCCCTTCTCTCTGCCTTTGTATGGAGGCAAGGGAGATGTTATCACTTGACTCTGTTACTACCACACCATAGAATAAAACACTTGATTTGCATTTCATATACTATTTTTATAACATATGAAGAATAATATTTGTGTTGAGCTGTTAAATATTGACAGTAGTCCCACCCTATTTATCAAATACTGACAGCTGACCAAGCAAAGGAGTAAAAGTTATTTGGAAATTCAGATCTTGTTGAAGCCTTTAAATATATTTGTAGAAGTTGGAGGCTTTCCCAGTTCACACATCTACTCTAATATCTAGAAATAGTTTCTCCCTTCCTTATGCCAAGAACTCAGTTAAGAAATACATAGCAGAAGGGAAGCACTTCTGAGAGTGCTGAATTCTTTTAACAGTTCTTGACAGAAAAAGAAAAAAAAAATCTTTGTCTGAAAACAATCAAATCAGTGAAAAGTCAGCCTGAATCAAAGCCCTGACTTTGAAAATTTGGGGGCTTTGGGATGAACGTGGTGGTGCTGAACAATAGATCTGAACATCACAAATTCCAACTCCTCTCTCACTGTGCTTTTGTTCAGCAATGTTCTCTCAAAGACCTTGGCTCTGCTTTTGGGTGGAGTACTCACTTGGTACATTGTCAATGCAAACAAAACTGAACTTGTCTGAACACAGTGTGAGCTTCTACTAAGAGTGACTGCCTAAAACTGTGGATCTGTGACAATACTGTTCTGAGAGCATAATTTTCATGAGAACAGTAACGTCCTGAAATTCAGCTACAATCAACAAGAATAAGTTTTTACTGAGTACTGCAGAAATAACAACACTGTAAAAAAATAATCTTCTTCACTAATAATTGACTAGAAGATATTAAGTATATTATCCCAGTGGGGAGAAAAAAAAAAAGCCTCAGTGAAAAAATTGCTCCTGTCTTTCTTTAGTGGGATGAAAGCAGTGGGGCTGAACAACAGATCTGCACATCACAAATTCCAATTCCTCCCTCACTTTGCTTCTGTTCAGCAATGTTCTCTCAAAGACCTAAAGGTATCTCAAAGGTACCCATACAAGCAGCACATTCAGTTTGCTGATAGTGTACATCTTTTTAAAAGTAAACAGTTCTCTTTAGGCTATTGAAAAGGAGACTTGCATGGGCTTAGGCTATATGAATAAACCTATTTAAATCCAAAAAGGCTGCATATAAGTCACCATTTGTTTATTAGAAGTCAGGGTATACGAATAATTTCAGAAAACAGGACAGCAATTTTGTTCTGCCACTTATTTACTCCACAAATGAGTTTCCACTCTGCCTCCAGCATGCAGTTCATCCCCGTTGTGATGAGAATACGTCAAAGGAAGCACATTTCTAACAGTCATATTCATCCAGATAAACCTGAGTATCTCTTAAAAAAACACACCAACAGAAAATAAACATTCTTTCAGCTTTTTTCCATAGAATTTTTTCTCTTCTTATGAACTAGATCATTAGTTGCTGTACTCGCATGCAGCCACAGACAACAAGCAGCCAGATGTACCATATTTCCATGTAAAAAACCAGAAATTTAACATGTGGTTCCATAATACTTAAAAGATAAGATCTCTTCTACAGCAAATAGACTAATGCAGAAAAGACCAAAACCTGTCCCTGCCTGTTTCAAACAATGAGATAATTTTAGTTCCAGACAAGCTATTTCCTAACATTATCTAAACTGTAGCTCATAAAAGTTTATGGACTCAACCTCAACATAGAGTAAGAAAACAATGGATCCAAGTATCTTCACTAACAACAATCCCAGTTCATGTGCCACAAGGTTACTGACTGTAGTGAAGGTAGCTTATTTCACCCAAATCTACTAGTAGTTTATTCCTTTGATTTAAAAATTGCAGCAAGGAAGAAGAATTTGTCACGTACAGATTAAATGTCCTGTCACACAGTGTAGAGCTGGTGTCCCCAGTCAATATATGTGACTGTGCTCATGTGACAAGTCTTTTCAGTCCAGCTACTCCCCTGGGTAATACCTGGCACATGCTTTCAGCACAGGACGTTGAAGTGTGAATAACCAGGAATATCAACTGTGGAGGCAAAAGAGTGCTGAGTTTGGGAATTCACCCTTAAATACCATTACAGTCTGGTAAAACTGTTGCACAATTGCACTTTTTCATAACATTACTGTATTTTAACTTTATTAAGGGGGATAAGTATGGGATTTGCCTCTCACCACCTGCTAAATATATGAGCTTCAGAATTATGTTCCTTGAATTAAGGAAATAAAGAAAGACCCACAAGCTAGATATCTCATGTGAAACCTCTGAAATTAAACATAAGGAGAAGTTAACCCTCTCCTGCTGGTAGTGCTGAAGAAAAAAAACATCCTGGCATTTAAATGTTTCTTACATACTAATTCTCTCCTTTTCCTCAGGAGAACGGACATCTCTGTCATTAAGCTGGAAGAACTTGGGGTTCCCTCCTTTCACACTCCTTTTCAGATCAGTTTTTCTTTTTTATTGGTGGAGTAGTGTGACTGGAGCTTGTTCTTCAGCATGCTTCTCCATGCTCTTCTTCAGAATACATGCTGTACCTTGAGAGAGATCCAGCAGCTCAGCATAACCGACCTCCAGGCCTGTTTTGCTTCACTCACTGTTTTCAGAACTGCACATCTATTACTGATTGTTAGGAGACAGGAAGGAAAAACTGTAGATTGATACTTAAGTGGTGCACCCACCTTCTTACCAAGGAAACCATCTTCCTCACTCCATGCCTCAGCTTAGAAGTTTTTAAGCAGAAAACCTCACTCATTCCTTAGTATGGAAAAAGTAAGTACTAGCTACTTGGAAATATTATAATCTCTTAGAAGACCCATTTCTGAAACCATAATGAGCCCAACCATTTCAAACCAACGACCCTGGGCCTTCTGAACTTGAATCTAGACCCAGTCTAAACTCTTCTACATACCCAACCTATGCTGCTACTTTTGCCTCAGAACACGACCAAGGTTTCTTTACAAGCTCTTAGACACAAAAATAGTCAGAATCAGTGAGTCCCCTGAAACAGTTAATTACTGCAGACAGTCTGAGCCCCAG